CTAAAGTTAGAGGCCAGTGCTATGATGGCGCTGCTGCCATGTCATCGCAGAGGTGTGGGGTTCAAGCAAGGATAAAGCTTCGTTCTCCAAAGGCATTGTATATGCATTGCAATAGTCATGTTCTCAATTTGTCTATTGCAAGCGCATGCAAAATCCCTGTAATTAGAAATGCTATTGACATTATCAATGCAACCTACCTTTTTTTTGACAACTCGCCTAAGAGGCAGAGATTTTTGGAGAGAATACTTGATGCATATCCACCTGAAACAAAACGAAAGCGACTTGTTGGTTTGTGCAAGACCCGCTGGGTTGAAAGGCACACAAGCTTGGAAACTTTTACGGAGATGTATGAGTACCTCATTCACTGTTTTGAAGCAATATTGTTCAATGAGCATGCAAATATATATAAGGAGGGAGAAAAGGTCTTTTCATGGGACAGAGAAACAAGAACAAAAGCACAGGGTCTTCTATCAAGTCTGAAAAATTTCACAAATATAATTGCCATTATTGTTGCAAGAAACGAGCTGCATACTGTCAAACCTATGGCGTCAAAACTTCAGAAGAGAGATTTTGATGTTTACCAGGCCTACACATTAATCGACGAGACGCGAAACAAAATCAGTTGTTTGAGAGAGGACATTGATGCTCAATTTTCAGAATGGTATGAGGAAGCAGTACTCGTGGCTGAAAAGATAGGGTCCACAGTTGAAGCTCCGAGAACATCAAAACTTGCTATACACAGAGCAAACGCTCCTAGTGAATCCACAAAAGAATATTACCTTCGTAATGTAGCAATACCTTTTATTGATTATCTAAATGGGGAGTTCAACGAAAGATTCAATCCCAACAATAGAATGGGAAAAGAAATCCTCGCCCTTCTTCCAGCAGCCATTCATGACGAAAATGACATCAAGTCCCTCGTTCAAAATTTGATGTTTTGGAATGATGACCTACCAAATCCATGTGCTCTTCGAAACGAAGTCATCGATTGGAAGATGTTCTGGGAGAGTAAGCAGGTAGATTTGACAGAAATCAGTTTACAAGATAGTCTGAAGCAAGCAGACATTGATGTGTTCCCAAACATCCGTACACTTCTGAAAATCGGCTGTACTTTACCTGTTACTTCATGTGAAGCTGAAAGGTCTTTCTCATGTCTCCGAAGAACAAAAACGTATCTCCGAAATTCAATGACAGATGAACGATTGACTGGCCTTGCACTACTTAATATGAACACTGGGTTGAAAATTGACGTTATGGAAGTTTGCAAGAGATTTATTTCGATGCATAACAGGAAAATGTTTCATCCCAGTGTGTTGTTTGAAAATTAATGGCATTGTATTCAACACGATTAAAATATGTCTTGAGAATCTTTTGCAGTTATTAAATATTGATGGAGATCATATCTACAAAAATCATGTGTTATCATCTGTATTGTCATTATGACAGTTACACGAAACATGCCGTATTGGCCCTCTGTATACTTATATATTTGAAAAGTAATAGAAATTAAATGTTAAAAAAACACCAAGTAGACATTTCTTTAGATCATTTACATGTACAAAAACAAAGTGGGGTGGAAATTTGGAGCGGTAGATGTTGCAACCAGTACCTAATAGGTCAAAATGTTGGACCCCCCCTTTTACAAATTCCTGGATCCGCCTATGCGATTGCTAACGAAAACGCACGATTCTTCACTCAAAATCTTTCAAAATCTTTAGGAATCGATATTTATAAAACGAAATACGGATTAATACTGATTCAAGATTTCAAAGAATTATGAATATTATTTCATCAACTTTGAAAATTAAAAAAAGAGGAAATATATATTTCTGGAACTAAATACATGTGAGATTTATTTAATATTTTAGATTATAAATATTTAGGTAATTCTTCAACTTAAGAAAACGTATAAGAATATGTACATGTAAGTGGACCGTAAGATTTGATAGAATTGGATTTCATAATATGCAGAAAGGGGGATATAATAAAACAAAATGTCAGCATGGAATGACTTTAATTCCAATTTATATCAATAACTTTCCATTGATTCAATGTTTGTGAATCTTTAGAAATGAACTTGCAAATTATTTAACATTTTTTTATTGCAGAAATTTATTAGAAATTAATTAAAAGTAAGCTTCAGATATAAAATGATGAACAAAACTCCAAAAATCATGCCGTGTGCATATACATTCGCCGACTAAATGTTTATGTAAGCATTGAAAACTTTTATTTATTTGTAAAAAAAAATATTTATTTCTGATGTATTGATTTTAAAAATATGTAGACCGCAATTGGCAGTAAACAAGAACGAACGTCAGGGAAATAATGTTAAACGTCTAATTACGGTTTATCGCAATAAGTATTGCTATTTGACGAGAACATAATATATCTTGTACGACTTACTATATTGCTTGTTTACAAGCGATAATTTGTTCGTTCTGCATTTAATGTAAACTGCGCGTCATTCATTTATTTGGAAATGCTTGTTTAACAAAATATTCCGATAAAAACTTGCAAAACGAAATTTACACGTTTCTAAACGCACGATTAAAACCGCAAACGATTGAGTCTGATACACGCACGATCGCGCACGATACACGAACGATTCTACACGATAGGTTTGTCAACAAAAACGTCGCAGCCACTGTAATTATGTTGCATAAGGTACTTTCAAAATTGTGAATTTCATGGCCCCAGGGTCAGGGGTTCTAGTGCTAGGATGGGCCTAATTAGATTATATATTGAAAATGCGTTTTATTTTTTACTAACAAAGTGCATAGTTTAGTTGAATATAATCGCCTTTTCCAAAATTATGAACCTCATGGCCCCAGGGTCAGGGGTTCTAGTACTAGGGCAGGATATATAGATTATATGGTAAAAATGCATACATTCTTTTGAAGTTCTTCTTCTCTGTTCTTGGGCAATATATAACCTAACAAAGTGCATAGTTCAGTTGAACATGGCTGCCTCTTCCAAAATTGTAAATTCTCATGGCCCAGGGTCAGGGGTTCTAGTCCTAGGGCGGGGCTATATAGATTACATATTGAAAATGCATAAACTCTTTGAAATTCTTCTTCTCTGCTCATGGGCATTAAATAAACTAACCAAGTGCATAGGTACAGGTATGTTGAATAAGGTTCTCTTCTAAAATTATGAATTTCATGGCCCAGGTCCAGGGGTTCTAATGCTAGGACGGGGCTATAAAGATTACATAGTGAAAATGAATTATTTCTTTGAAATCTTTCTCTGCGCCTGCGTATTAAACAATTGAACTATGTACATAGTTATGAGCAGGAAGGATGCTTCTTTCAGATATGTGAATTTCATGGCTACTGGCTCAGGGCTTCTTGTGTAAGGATGGGGCTCTAATGTTTATATTATGAAAATGCATGAATTCTTTGAAACATTTTTCCTTTGCTCCTGGGTATTATGCCAATAATCTTATTACATATTTACGATGAAGAAAGTTGCCTCTTTCTAAATGGATTAATTCCCGGGCCCCTTGGTCAGAGGTATTTGGAGGAGGGTAAATTGTCTGAAAATAAATTAATGCTTTGAAATCTGCACTTTGGTATTAACAATTTATGATGAAATAAAACTCATGATAAAAATTTTCAAAATTTTGAGATATGTGGCCTCAGGGTCAGTGGTCCCTGTGGGATGGGTGCACAAACGGTTACAAAGTGGAATGCAGATTGTCTTTGTTACTCTGATCTACCTCTGGGTATTAAGGTCATACGCAACGTAGTTTGAGCTTTATTGGGTTCTTCCCTGGAGTTGAAGTGTTCCACTTAATAAAAGACCGATGTGCAATACTTTTAATGGTTATATATGGATTTGTACACCTCTTCTATAACAAATTTTGATGAAAAAATATGGAATTTATGTTATGTAATTTTCTACATTTTTTTTTTGAATGATGAAAAAATTTTTAAACTTTGATATCTTTTCAAAATCCCTGGTAACACATGCTGATTTTTTGTCTAAGAACATGTAATGGTATTAAAAATTTAAATTTAGAATATCTTGAAAAGTTATCAGTAGGTAAGGTACCTTGTATATGTCCTTAAGTAACCAAAGTAAGCGTGCTAAATGTATAATTATGATAAGCAATGGTGCCTCTTTCAAAATTGTGAACTCCAGGGCCTCTGATTTAAAACGCGAATCAAATTCTATTGTTCGAAATTTGTTACGGGATATTCTGGTGACCTATAAGGCCTGTGGGTCTCTTGTTATCAGTAACTAATAGTATTTCTACTAATACTACATTGTATTTCTGATCCAATCTTGAAAAACAATAACTTTAGCATCGTCGGAAACCCAAGGGTGATCTCTTCTTTACTTATTACCCATGGGCAAACTAGCTGAAATATTGCCGTAAAATATGCTAATTGTTGTTTTTAGTTAACCAATCAGAAAGTTGAAACTCTTCAATTTTGAAAAATATTTTTATTACTTTGCTATTTATGGTAAATATTTTGACGATCGTTAAAACGTGCGAAGTTTTATTTAAAACAATGAAAGTCAATTCGTACAGGGCACTGACATTAATATCCGTAAGGTAATACATAGGAGTACCTCTTTCTAACTGCAAAATGCACCGGTGAGTAGACTTATCAGCTGTGTTTACTATGGAATAAGTTTTTTTAAAATGATTTTGGCAATGCTGAACATGCATACGTAATGTGAACTGTGATTCGTTGTTTGGCATCGTGAATATGTGAAGCGGCCAATCAAATGACCCATGCATTTTTAATTACATACGACGATTTTTGCCGAGATTGCCCACGGGTGATGTGTGGGTTTCCGACGATGTAACTTTAGTTGTTCTGAGTTTTTTAACGAATGATACGTCATTGCTGATAAACTAAAGACATTTAATTTTGTAAAACAGAAAATATTAGTTTATATTTTAGTTATTAAAAACATACATTATTGTGTATGTTTCAGTTTACATGTATATCATAATCTGTTCAAATATACTTTTTTATTTAAAGGATTCATTAGACTTGTCAATGGAACTTCAAGTAACAAAGGTCGTGTAGAGGTGTTTATCAACGGGAGATGGGGTACTGTGTGTGATGACCACTGGGACGACAAGGATGCACGTGTCGTGTGTAGAAGTCTGGGATATTCAGGGTAATTAATTACTGCACTTGTATTTTTTTAACATATATTATGCATTTATTAACGACATACTTTGATTGTTTATTCATGTTCATTTCATAGAAACTCTACTGCTCATCAAAATGCCTATTTTGGACAAGGATCGGGATATACTTGGTTAGATGACGTCAAATGTCAAGGGACTGAGTCATCCATCTTTGACTGTATCCAAAATGGTTATGGGAAAGAAGACTGTGGTCACTATGAGGATGCTGGTGTAACATGCAACTAATTTGCTATAAGTGTAAATCTTCAAAGTTTTTAAAGCAATATGAGCTGCATGTTTGACATCGGAAAAAATATTGCAAATTTGTAGTTAGCTATTTCAACGACAGAAAAATAGATCATTTATAAACTTCTCTTGTTCATATTTGCTATGAAAGAACTTTTTATACGCGTTGATTGAAGCAAAATTGAATTATTGTCGTCCTGTACAATAATGATTTCTTATATACTAGTAATACTTTATACTCGGTTGTACAGAAATATTTCTTCTGAAACATTTTTAAACTTTATTTTGGTTTTATTGATCATAAGGGTTTAGATTACATACAGATTAATCATAATAACACATTTTACCAGAAAATAAAATTCTCAAAAATGCAGCTTATATTACTTGAACAGTTATTTACTGTTATTTTCATTGTACTGATTATAAAGAAAATAAATAGTATTGCAGTTACCAGCAATATCACTATCATTGAAATATTTCTTTCAATTACAAATGCATATTACAATTTTACAGATATACAAAGGTTTATAATTTATGTATTACGATTCCACAATGCACATGTAACTCTTGTGGAACCTCTCTATTCACTTGAAACTTATCTTTCTTTTTTGTAACGTAAGTTATGATAACAACAAACTAACTATCAAGTGTATAGGATAAGAATTATCCCATTTAATTTTTTAAATCAACTTAAATTTGAAGGAAAAAAAATACTCAGGTAATGTTACTTGTGTTTTAGTTTTCTATTTTCCAAAGTAAAAGACAATCATTCTTTTTTTCACTTTAGATGGGAAAACTATTGTGCGATTTTTTCCTTTTTTCTACTGATTTCCTTATAATTCCTTATCAAATTCAACTGTGAATAAATTATTTAATATGTTATTACTAAGTAGGAAATGAAGCATACCCCTTTCCTTATCATAATCTGACTCAATCCCCAGCCCTCGTCCGTCTTGATATTGGTGTGTGGGCAGATACGGGGAGTGACATCGAAATGGGTTTACATTTATCTATTAATTTCAAAACAGTTAAAATTAAACACACATGGGATATATAAAAGACAACACAGTCTTACTCATTTTACCCTCTACTGAATAGATTAGCAACTGTTATCTGAATGGGATGGAGGGTGCATATATTTTGACTATTTAAATATTGTCAACTGTCTTTGCATGCTGCTAAATATATACATAAATTATACACTAATGCACGACCGATGAAGTATAGTGTGATACATGTATTATAATGAAATGCAATCAGAGAGCTTTAATAACTTTTATAAAGTATATTTTATCTACATTCATTGTACTAAACTAGAGTTACTGTGAGCGATGAGCTCACTAAATGATACCCCCCGCCTCCATATAATAGTAGTTTTAATGGCAAAGTCCATGTTTTGCTGTGGCCGGAAAACCCAAAATATGTGTCGGATCAAAATGTAAAATAAGAGGTGCACAATGGCAATATGTAATAATAAAGATTCTGTGAAACTTTCATCAAATTTCATTCAGTGGTATGAGAGGAGTTGCGGATAAGAAATGGGTACCCCAAAGCGTAACAGACGGACGGACGGACGGACAGACGGACGGAATTAACGATTACTATAGGCCCTCCCGCTTTTCAAGCGGGGGTATAATAATATACTTCTAATATTTCATAAATAGTGTTCATAATAATCGTAAAAAGATTTCGTTTCGCACAACCCTTTCGTCGTAATTTTTCTCTAAATATTATTAAATTGTCATCAAAATCTAAATTGAGGGATCATTTTAACTAAACATTTAGAAGTTGTTTAACTCTTCTTTAACTAGTGAAAACGTTTTCACAATATTTTAATATATTTGTTATATATGAAAAGATTAAACAAAAATAAAAACGTTGGTTGGTATATGTCAATAATACTTGTACTGAATCATTTCATATTCGGGATGTATACTAAATCATTTACTAAAAAAGCATATAAATTGGATGTTACCATATAATTATATTCATAGTAAATGTACCATTTTTTTCATCTTCGAAACTGCAAAATAGATGATGAATTTAAGTTTTTGCTTATAATATTGAATTAAAACTGCTTTGTTTATATAATAAGTAGCCTGTTGGTATTTGTACAGTCGAACTTCATTTATCCGGACACTTATGTTCACAAGCAAATCGACTGAATTTTTATAATCAGTGGATATAGAAGTGATATTTGTTAATCAGAAATAATTAAATCTCCGAAGGTCAAGCGTCCGGATCAACGAGATTCTGCTACATATTTTTTGATATCTTAAATGTTTCACTTTCATTCTCATCTTACAGTTGAATCATGTTATTACTCAACATATTTGATATTTCAATAAATTTTTTCATTAGCACGTTTTTTTTATTATTATTTTATAGGATAAAAAAATTATATTTCCTATTCAATTCAATGATGTCTTGTGTTACGATGTGTGTCTCTTTTTATTTGTTCGATCTATTTAATTACTTTTTCCTGTAAAATCTTCTGTAAGTTTTTAATGTTATATAGCCATGGTTACGAAAGCGGGTTAATCTGACATACGAAATTGAATAACAGGAACTCCTGGTTTAACCAGAATCTGTAACATTGGAATTCTGTATTGTATGATTGTCCAGCCTGCTATTGCAGCTCAAGTTGATTTGTATGTCAGAGTCTGTCTCTTCCACTGTTTCGACTTCTTATATTTATTTTTCATTCCTTTGACTCCACAAAACCAATCGCAGTCAATGTAAAAGTTATTAAAAGGTTTCTTATTGTCAGAGATCCAACAATATAGAAAAATACTAGTTATACACAATTATATTGGCGTCAAAAACAGTTGCCAAAAATAACAAATGATTTAAAAACTAAAATGTACCCTTTAAAAATCTTAAATGTCTTTTTTGTAAGATTAAAATAATCTTTGGGCTTTTACTTATTGTGGTGTGTAAATTTACATCTTTTCAGAATGAAAAGTAGGATTTATTTTTATATTGAGCATATTTGTCAAATTTGAATTTAATGTACATTCTTTATAATACTGTTCGAAGACCCAGGCTCTCTTAAATTAAAAAAAAAACATAAGGTATATATTACATGTTATTAAAAAAATATATAAATATATAATTATATATATAATAAGGAATTTATATTGGTTTTTGGAAAAAAGAAATGATTGATTGCGTTTGATAATGTAGACCCTTTTTACCTTGCATACTTTCTTCTAACCTTTATGAATTACACGCACACCCTCATATTGATTTTGGATTTTATTAAAAGTTATACCAACTACTCAATATTAGTGAAGCAAATGTTCCTCATATCTTAATTATAATATTTATTTAAACAGTTTTATTTATTGTCATTTTTTCATATTTTAAACTTCATTTTGTAGCAAATATGAGTGCATGAAGAGAAAGATATTTAGATAACGAACAGTATTCAATCTCAAAATCCATAAAACAATACAAAATAGGATCAGAGCAAACACGGACAACCGAAACATCAGAGGTGGGATCAGGTGCCATGGAGGAGTGAGCATTCCCTGCTGACCAGTCACTCCCTCCATACATAACAATATGTATGAAAAACGTCAGTCAGCATTTGACTCAATGATTAATTGTACTTGCTAACAAGGTCATTGTTGCGACCACAGAACTTACGAAATGATGACTTTAAATGAGACTGTTGATATTTTTGTTTCATCAACTTGTTTGTCAATAATTTACCTCGTTTTAGAAATTGTTCATACGTAGAGCAGGCACGTACGTATCGAACCAACTGACATATATATACTCCGTATGCAGGTGATGAAGGTATATTGCTGCATACATGTACGTAAGGGAAGTTGACGATAGAAAAGTTAAAGTCATCACGTTTATCATATAGCTTGGTTGTTAGATTGCCATTAACGTCTTTTTCAAGTAAAATATCTAAGTATGAAACAGATGTGTCAGACTCTGTGGTATCTTTTAGAGATGGTTGCAATAGACCTAATGGATTGCACTATTTGTGACGTGCTGACGCTTTGCATGTCGAGAAGCTCAAATACTAACGTCACATTCTCACCACATTAAAGGACGTAACCGAGATCGCGTCTCTCCCTCGTTAAAGTCGGTCAGCTGCAACGTACAGCCTGTTGAATTGTTGGGTTCAAAAAATGGAGTAGACAGTCCCGATGTTGATTTCTTGAATATTACCTGCACAGTTAAATGTCTTTAAAACTTGAATTAACCAATTAAAACATTTTATGGGTTTTTTTTCCCAGTCCATTTCGAATATTTAAATTGGTCGATTATTTTATTCTATTGTAAAAATTTATCTTTCATATTTGCGTACATGTATAGTACATGATTCATTGTTCAGTAGATTTATTAGTTTCGCGTATCAATCCAAGTCATGTACTCTGAGATTGTTGCCATTAGAGAGTATTGCAAAATACTGCTGAAAAATTGAGACCCTCTTTATGCATCTACTTGTATTCAAGAGAAATGGTACAGAGGGAAGGCCGGGGGAGACGTGACGTGTGCATTAACGTTAAAATTTTATCGATTGATGTTCAATTTATTTTTAATATTATAGAAACCATATTTAGTTCTTTGTATGTATAGTATAATTTATACCGAACGATATAAGTAATCATTTATTATAGTGACATTGTGCATTTTAGACATTTCAATATACAGTGTAAACAAAATACGTCAAACTGAATCTGCACCCGGCCCACTGGACCTATAAGTCACTTTTTCCATTAATAACATTTATATAAATTTACACATGCAGAAGATTCTTTCTATGGTTAAACGTTGTATGTACAAATTTGGCTAACTTTATTTGGTAATTTTGATTTAGAACCTTGAACAAATAATCATTATCATTACTATTTGGGTGCTCTTTGTACACGCTATCAAAATATTTTTCCCTAACATTATTATACAATTGACAGTCTAATAAGAAATGTTTTTCGTCTTCAACAACAGAACAAGAACAGAAAACACACGTTCTTTCACTTAAGG